CAAATGGTAAAAGCAAGTACAAGGATACGCATCCTGAGCGTCCTATAAAACAAAAATTCCAACTATTTTGCGCTGACATATTAACGATAACAGATACAATCTGGACACCGTACTGGTCAGCTGAGAATGTATACTATTGAGAGTTGGCTTTATTGGAAATTATCTCTATGTGTGATACCCCTAAAACCAATAAAATCATAGCGACAGTCTTACCAACTGACCAATTGCATAATGTGTATTGATGTAATCTCATACCACTACGCCAAAGCAACTACGAGTTGAATGTGAACTCTGGCCAAGCAGGTTTGTAGCCAGCTTTTCCGAATCTGCATGAAAGTTCTGATTTGGTTGTAGGCTAACAAATATTCAATTGTCATATGGTGAAGTTTATGGTGCACAGGGAGAATGAAGCGTGAACTGAAATGTTTGGAAGTCCTGGACTGCTATTTTCCATCTGGTTGGGTCTCATCCGTGCAATGCGAATGCATTAATCTGACTGGAAATCAAACCAGAAGAAATTGACCATGTGATCAAACTAAATCCTCCGCTACTCTTTTTATCAACCGTTTCTCCCCCTTTGTTGATGTCGGGCTTACAATGAACTAACTGGATATCAATTAAGATGATACCTGAACAAACATGAAAGAGGAATTCCGTTCAATCCTGGTGTGAGCTGGCTGGCACAGTGATAACACACACACGCACACCTTCCATGCGATGAGTTTGGACCACAACCGAAGCCCGGACAGGGATAGCGAATATGCACTACTGATGAGCTCTAATAGGAGCGAAACTCTAGTCTATTGCTATCGACTGTATGGCTGACTGGACGAACTAGGAATTGTGCCTGAGGATGAATTTGGAAGAATGGTCAAGGTTTTCACCATGCCATCTTCGCTGAGCAAACATCGTCGGGATCAAACAAATTTAGTCACTTCACGCGGTTGAAGGAGGAGGGTTTACTCTTGGCAAGCGCGCTTGCTAAGTAGCACAAAACATGGTTAAATAGCAGAGACAAGTCGTTAGCATCGATTTACCATCTGGCCGGTTCCTGTGAACTTATTGGTATCTATTGCGGATGGAAAATAATAAACGTTCAAGATACAAGTGTTTTTTTTCAATTTACTTCCTTTTATCGAATATGCAAAGATACAATTTTTAGGAAGAGGGAAGCGGCCAATCAAAGGGCTGATATTCAACACATGGAGGAAACTTAGGCGGTGGTGATGGGGGATTCGAACACACACATTCCCGGGGTGATAATTTGTTGACGTTAGTAGCGGGCCACCACCGCCCAATGAATGAACTGATAAAAGATTACGGGATACGCACACCTGACGAGCGACAATAACTGCGTAACCAATCATGTGCTTCCGGGGAAACTGTGAGGACCGATTCGGATTCCTTCAGTTTTCCAGATGAGGAAGATGGTTTTCCAAATGGGCACCTAGGACTTTGGGGCACGGCATGCTACGCGGTAGCCCACACCGACGAAGGGGTTTGCCTTTTGGGAACCCTAATCTGAGTATTTGATTCAAACTTCTGACCTGCAAGGAAGCGGGAATTTTTGGGTTTTCCTTTGGGAACCCTAACCGGAGCCTTCGACTGAAAAGCCTGATCCACAAGGCAGTGGGGCATAGATCCAACGCGGGAGCATGAACGAAGCATCCGGGTAACGGAGCTTCTGAAAACCTGTCGCGCAAAGCCTTTGAACTTCGGTCGAGTGTGTTGTTCGTTGGTGAGTTGGTTGGATTCCTTCGGCCACCTTTGATATACTTATCACGAACAGAATAAACCAAGAATGAAATAAAAACTAGGGGAGCACTGTACAGCTGTTTTGACCTAGTTGGGTCTCGAGTACACCTGTCAAAATAACACATCCCCGCCCAGAGGAAAACTAGGGACAGATAATGAAAACCGAGGCTTGTATTAGCTAAATCAACAAACAATCCGAAATGGAGGTCAGGATGACAGGTGTTTTCCCATCAGTAGTGGGACATTTGTTGGACGTACTAGTAGGACAGAGTGACGTCTAGAGACAACACAATATTTAACCCGAGAGCACCGAATGATTTTCACGACTACTGTTGTCATTTCACGATCATAGCTGTCATACTTCATGGATAGCATTATAATCAAGCGATCGATCAAGGTTTGGGTTGTATTTTCGGCAGCTGATTTGGCTCAGCTGGTAATCCTGTGTGACAGCCAAAATGGAATAGCTTATACAAACCCCTATTGGATGTTTCAGGTTGCCGTTCGACACCACGATGATAGTTAAGGTAGTATCTTTTCAACATGGGACTACACCGCAACAGACACGTCATATAGGGTTGATCAACTTGTCCCAAACTTCATGTTTTGCGAAGACCCGCTTGATGTTATGATCTCTACGGAATCGAGAATCCGAGGCGTATTGTTGGGGTGAGTGGGCCAAGGCCGGGAATATCCTTGCTGAACTAAAAGCCGCTTATAAAGGAAAATCTGAGCACTACATTTCGCGAAACTGTGTAAGGTTCTGGGGTGGTGGTGGCACTGTGGTTTAGTCGCTGTCAACGACGTGTTTTGGACCCTGGGGTCCGAGGTTCAAGCCCCGCCACCGCCACCCAACTTTGGTGGTAGACAGCTTTGCTGTCGCCCGGTTCAATATCGCGCCTGAGCTAGCGAGCACTTATGTGGTTCCCCACTCCAAATCTCCGGCCTTAGGCTGACGGTTTCCACCACCAAACAGTAGATCTTCATGACTATGGGGCTCGCCCGTCTGCTGTTCATCACAATGGTGTGTAGTAAAAAATGATTTAAGATATGTGCTGACTTTTTGAAACAAAACAGACAAACTGGACTCAATTTGAGCCAGCAGACTGGTAGTATTTCCAATGTAATGTTTTTTGTACCCTGGATGCATGCGTGACTAATATTTCTATATTAACCAAGTCGTAGAATATTTTCCGCTTTTGGATTATTAGTCAGGACATTTTTTTATTACGGTATAAAAAAATGATCACAGCAAATCGCTCACTACGAAAGTTTGAATGTTCCAATGAATTTGGTGTGTACAATACACACACACGCACACATCCATACGGGTGCATCAATATCTCCTAACAGCTGAAACGCTAACAGTGTCACAGGTATAGGTGTAAATAAAATCAATTATTGAAATTACCAAATCATCACTATGGATTTTTGGTCCACTTTGAACAACAAAGTAAAAAGAAACTGATATTTAAACTGGCCTTATGGATAATGGTTATCTTGGGGTCTCGGAGAAACTGATGCGCCGCTATCGCTCGACACTCATGTGACGGGCACAGCAGACTGGCAGCGCATACACCGTGGCCAATCATTTTATATGGAGTTCAGTTCAAACTGGGAACTCTCTTCACAAAGAGCTGGTTTCAAGTTCAGCAAGTTTGAAAACTAACAGAAGGCGATAGGAAGAGAGTTCTCCATGGATCCGGTTTTACCACCCTCCGCATTGCTCTGTAGTTTTCTTTTGTTGACTTTTAGTTGTCGCAGACTGACCACGTCTGACCACGTTAATGACGTGTTCCTAAAGGTCAGGAGGCTCAAATTTTTGTTTTACGTCTTAAATCACTTTCTATCCCAAACCATCTCACGAGGCGTTTTGTTTTTGCTTGCGTTTTGCCCCACTGGCTTTATGGGTCCCCTGTTATCCTTCCTGGTCTTTTTAACGCAGACTTCAAACTCATTTCCCGATCCCTGATGTTCTTATCGGTTTGTAGTCTCATACCGTCTGGTACAGTATGTGGTGGCACATCACCTCAAGTCTTGTAAAACACTATCCACCCTTAGTCAGTGTCGTTCTCACTCATCCACCGGTTCTCACAAACCTATAAAGACAAGCACCGAAGCTTACAGGCGCTCTCCTGCCCCGTATCTCGCCAGATTTCTAACAAACCATGAACTCCTTGCAGGAAATCTGCGCAAAACGCTAAACTAAATCAATTATAAACACCCGGATATGCCAGTGGTTTCTGATGTTGCTGTCTGTTTTCACTTCTTTTATATGTTGTATTATAATGTTTTTGTTCACCTTTTGTTGACAGACTGTGGTTATTTGGTTGCGAAATATCCACCTTTCGAGGTGTTTAAAGCGATTCCTTGACATGATTTACCTTTTCTCGTTATAGTGCTACCTACCGATCCTAATTCAAGCATGTCGCCAAACAGTTTTGCCAGACGTTTCGCTCTAAAGTTCTGCTAACCAGTTGGATTTCCGATCAAAATCAGACTGGACAAGTTACATTTGGGAAGTGAAAACAAATAACTCTAGTCCGGTTAACCGTGAATCGGACCTAGTCCCGATGCGATTTTGGACTTCTGTGGTTCTGGCTTGTGGAGTTAGTTCAATTAACTGGTTTATTGTCATAAGTCAGCAGCACCAGATTAACCCGGAGTTTATGTGCTGAATTCAAGTTACGTTTGGATACCTTTTGCCATCAAGCACCCAGTTGATTGATTGATCGTGTCATCCTCCTTGAAAATCTAGTTTATTAAATGAGAAATTTTCAAGTGTTTACCACTATTAGCTTGATTGATTTCAACAATTATATATTTATTTATTTATTATAGATATATATATATATATATCGTGAACTTGAGTGGACCAGATGCCTTTGCGTGCACCCTGTAGCAAAATGAGCGCACTGAGTGAAAATTCAAACGAAATTCATCAGTCACTTCCGTGTAACACAGTCAATAGACCATTTTAGAAATACAACAAGAACCAAATGTTTTTCGAAGCACAAGGAAAAAGCTTTGATGAGGAACAATTGGTTGATTNCGAATTCAGTATTCGAAAGACGGGAAATTCCGATCTATGACATATATGTGTGCCACAGAGAACAAAAAGAGCTGTAACCAAACCGTTTTGGAACCTCTCTTGCTTACTGCAACGCGAATAGACCTATCGAGCCTTAGTCACTCTCCCCCACCCCACCCCCATCATCAAAAGGATCGTTTGATTTTTATCTTACCCAATGCATTGATACAATTCCCCAATGCCAATAAGGATCGATTGATATGCGCGCCTTCCGTCATCCGTTTGCCTCGATTCAATGTCTTTGATGCGCGTTCAGATCCAGCCAAATCGATCAAAAACAGTTTGCCCACATTGATCTCCTCAGTCACATTGACCACACGGGAACGTTGTCGGACGGTAATCTGAAGAATGGCATGCGATCGGCTACTGGTCCGGTTCGCGGCTGTCGGTTCGGTGGTACGATTCTGGTTGCCCCGCTGGAGCAGTTCGAACACCTGAGGCGGAAAGGAAAAGGGAAGATGTTTTCCGTTGCAGTAGAATTACTGGAAAGTGGAATTTGTCTTGCATTGTGAACAAGTCACACCTATATAGATATACTAGTGAAGGTCAAAGGTGTTCTAATTCCACCACGATCATCCATCTTTATTATTTCTGTATGTTCCGAGATGGCTCTTGATTGACCTCTTCATCAGAAATAAATTTACATTTGTATGTTCAATAAATAGATTGAGAATACATTATTATTTTTGTCGACCACGGTATGTGGCATACGAAAACACTTGGGGAACGAGAGGAAATGTATCGATTACGTCACTGCATGTGATCATGTTAGTTGGACAAGCTCGATGATGATGATGATGACGATGATGATAATGATGAATGTATGATCCCACACTTATTGTCTTGAATAGTCAAAAGGGCAGAATTTCGAAGGTACATTCTGAGCTCTTTGGTCTGTCTTCGGTAACGGTACTTTAGGCCCCTCAAGTGACGCAACGGAACGCAAGGCTTTGGAAGCACAGGGGAAAATATGTCATATTATTATTATTATTATTATCATTAACAAAGGAAAATATTAGTAAAACTCAATTCATTCGCCTAACCTTTCTGTTTACTGAATTCCATCGGTTTTGTGCTTGATAACTCTAAGACGGGATTTATCGCCAGTGGTTCACGCGACATAATGTTTGGTCACTTGTATTACTTTTTTTTCGAGAATAATCGTGACTATCCAGTGTGGAGGCTTGTGGGATATGACACACGTATTCCATTATCGAGATGAGGAGGAAGGAAATAGTCCATGGAAATCCCTTGTGTATTATTTAGGTCTCGCAACATCCAAACTGGATAATACTCACCGAATCGGTGACCAAGATGCATTCTCTTGAAGGTGGTATCCATTACCCAGTCGGATAGAGACACAAGAAGAGCATACACGCGCTGTTTGTGTTGGCGGAGCGTGAGTTAACTCTTCACTTCTTAATTTCTTCAAAGTTCCCGATCATCGGTGAGGACTAAATTTGACAAACTACGCACTCGGAAAATCATTCCAGTTTCCACTCTCGGTGCACTACTTCAAACTGGTGACTGAATAAATACTGGCGACAAATTCTAAAGTGCACTGTCTGTGATAAAACAAAAGAGTGTCATCGGGGAATCGAGATGAACAGTATCTTCTAACGATTGATCTGCCACATTTATTGTCCACAACCATTAAAAATAAATCTATTTACAAGCGGGGAGTTCTGTTGTCAAAGTTTCTTTCGATTGTAGACTATACCGAAGAGAGTAAATTACGGAATTGCAGGGTGAATTTCATCACGTTTAGCGTGACCCGGAAAGCTAGGAAGCGTTGAACAAATGTTTCAACCCTAATAAGTAGTATCAGCTGTGAGAAGTCATCACCTCATATGAGGGTCAAAACCCTGATTTTCCCATCAAGCACACACCGTTAATCTGCGTCCAAGCAGGTGCATAAGAATTGTGGATGACTGAAATGAGATCACTTTTTCACATTCGTCAGAACTGTCAACTAACGTCTCTCTAAGCGTTGTTTGGGCTACCCCCTCGCACCAGAAGTCATCAACTAGGAATCTTAACGATCTGAAGGACTATGATTCTCGAATACCCGATAGTGTCCAAGTTGCGGTTGAATTGTCACGCCCAATACAGTGGGTATTCTTACAAACTCATTGTTTTAACGACAATGCATAGGCCCAGTTCTATCCAGCTTGACTGATTCAAATCAATTCCAATAGCAGCGTCAAAAAGGAATTTGGCATATGACGGTGTGAAGATTGCCGCATAAAATGAACCCGGCATGAGGGTATGAAAACCCTAACCAGGAGACTCGTTCACATAGGTTCCGTTAGGCTCCTTTGCTGGAGACCCCGAGATCATGGTCACCGATGGTTAGCGACGCTGAGCGATACGGATGGGTGTTGCAAACAGCGACACTCATGCATCTACTCATTATTCTTGTAACATCAACCTATAGTTCTTCATCTTCCGCTTGAATTTGTTCCCAACATTCTGATCTTCATTCTGCTGTTTTATCCAAATGGGCAACCAAAAAGACAACAACCCAAACCGGTGCACGAAAGTTCATGGTTAATGGTTGTAAGAACTGAACTGAATTGAACTTCTATCCTGGGTTCCGTACTGGCAAAAACGAAAACAATAACCGACATTGAGCATACTTCGAACACAAACGTACCTCCTGTCGTGTGGTCGGCTCCACTTCTCGCAACCCAACCACTTGAATCCCTTTGGTATCCTCACGCAATTCGAGAAAATCCGATCCGGGATTGAGCAAATCACGAATCAGTTCGTTGTACAATTCCATATAGGCCATTCCAATTGTGTACAGGTATTCGTCGGAGGTCTGTACCATGAAATTGAGTAGTTCGTCCATTGCACGAACCATGATTCCCGGATCGGCTTCCGTACCCACCATGGTATGTGTTTTACCGGCACCTGAGAATATAGAATACACATTCGACTCAGTCGGAACGAGTTTCCAGGCTTATAGAGCAAAACAGGTTTTACATAACTGGATTATTTCAATACAATCAGACCAGGTTAGACAGGTTTCCTAAACGTATGAAGATAAATGACCAAAAAAGGGATTGGTTCTCAGGGGCTACTTGAAAAACAATAACGGAATATCAAAATGTATGAGCAATATGAGAACTGTGTTTGTAAATACTTGTTTCTTTTCTCGGAGGTAATATGTAATACTTGGCAGTCGCGCCGGTAATATTTTATCGTGAGTGCTTGTATCTGAGCGTTTTGAGTTCATGGCGTTTTTCGTTCCTTTTGGAATGCGGATCTGTCGCAAACCCCAGCCCATGAAGGATCTGTTATACAGTGTTTTGTCTCAATCCCGTAAAGACCTCATCTGGATTGCTTCTGTCT